CTTCCCACCCTCCGCCCACCCATCTCCGCCGTCCAGCCGGCGCGCCAGCGCGCCCGCCCCCCATCACCCAACGTCCTCGCGTTCTCCCGGATCTCTCAGATCGCGCGACTCCGGCCCAGACGTCAAAGATTACTAACGAATGACGCCCCATTCCACCCTCCCCCCACGCTCTACCCGACGTCCGATGGCGACGTTTCCACCAGACTGCACGTCGTTTTTCCCTCCCGACTCGCTTCCCCTCTTTTTCGCCCCTTCCTCCACGGCCCCGCTTCTCTTCCCCTCCTCCCCCTCAGCTCCTCCAGCCTCCCGTACCCCCGCCCGCTACCGGTCCCCGCCATCGTCGCGTCGTCCCCGATTTCCGCCCGACCGAAAAAAATATCCAATGCCTGGTTCGTTCCCAGCCTAGGGAGTTCTCGTCCCGGCCTCGTCCACGCTCCTTCCCGGTCTAGGGACGTTTACCTGGAATACGGCCCGTACTTCCAGTCAGCGTGCAGGTATTTTTTTTCCCTCCGCCGGAAAGTGGGGACGACGCGAACGTGGTGAGGACCGATAGTTCGTGAGGATGTGCAGTGATTTTCGATCGTCCTGACTCGCGTCCCTGAACGCGAAAAAAAAAAAAAAAAAAAACTAGCTACGAGTACCGCGTGCCAGCCGACGCTCCCTGCGCGTCTCGTCTGAGTATTTTCTTCCCTCGTCTTGGTATGGTTGGTCTTAAACGCGCTTGTTTCTACCGTACACTCCTCGTCTCTTTCTTTCTCGATACCGTTTTCCCAGTCTAGGGACTCGCGTGTCCCTCGTACGGCTAGTAACTGTCGAATCGAGCCAGCTGTGTTCCCGTGTCGCTTTCCCCTAGGGGACCCGGTTCGAGAAGAGTCGTGAGTCGACCTCTTCTTTTTCCACGCTCGTTCCGCCGTCGATACTGTTGCGTTTTCGCGTGACTTTCACGCGTCGCGGTACCAAAAATTTTTTTTCGTAACACGAGGCCGAAAAAGACCGTTTTCGGCGCCTATAAAGTGGACCGAGAATAGATTTTTACCGCCCGGCGTCAGCTCGATTTTACCGCCCTAGGGCGGGAAAACTCTCTTTTCGATCCGCTTTGTAGGCGACGAAACGTGGTCTTTTTTATGCCCTTTTTATGAAAAATATTGTGCGACACGAGCCGAATGGACCTTTCCAGGCTCGGATGATGTTCTGAGCGGCTCGAATGGCTCGAACGTCCACCTCGCCCAGAAAGACCCGTTTTCGGCCCTTGGTGCACCGAGTACTCGTGTCCACGCGTTCGCGTAGCTGACTCCGTTTCGTCGTTACTAGCTGTACCTTGCCTCCGTTCGGTTCCTCGTCTCTCTCGGTGGCTGCCTCGATGGCTGGCGGCCGGGATCGGTGCGGGTGGTCTGGTTAATGATACGACTCCGAATGATTAACGACTCGATCCTTTATTAATGGGACCGTTGTCCCAAGGCCGATGCGCGCGACTTCTGTCCGTAAAGACGGGCTCGCGAAGCCGATACCCTGCGTTTTTTCTGTTCTCGTACCCCACGATTCGTGTACGATCGCGTTTTTTAGTTTCGCGCCACCGTCGTCCACCGCTGTGCCCGTCTTCGCCGTCGTTTTCTTCGGCGCCGCTTCGCTCGGTTCTCGTTCCCAGTTCCGGTTCCGGTTCCTCTTCTCGTTTCGCGTGTCACGGGTGTGCGCTGGCGGCGGCGATTAGTAACGATACTTCGTCGAGTAATCCTTCGGTGACACCACCAGACCTCTGCCTTTCCTCGCGCCTCTGTACACCGTTTCGATGATGTCGATCATTTCCTGTTTGTCTTCCAGGGTCCAGTTGATCTTGTTGTTGTTTCCGGTTCCCAGATCGATCATTATGTGTTTGTTTCTGAAGAAGAACATCACCGTGCACGGATCGTACAGTTCGTACCTGTGCGTGCCGACCGAATGCAGTCGCGTTAGAATACGGGAGTGTCTGCGTTCCGCGTCCTTCTCGACGTCTTTCCTCCTACCACCTTCCCACCTACCGCTACTACTTACATTTTGTTGAAGTCTGGTACTTGCGTGATGTCCACCAAGTAAATCACGGCAAAGTTTTTCACCTTCTCCGCTATGTTGTACAGAACTTCGTCCATTTTCATGCACATCGGATCCCAATCGTGGCCGAATCTGATTACCTGAAACCACCGACCAGACGAGGACCGTCTTTCTCTTTCTCTCGCTTCGCCCACCGCTGCTCTCCGTCTGTCCGTCTGTCCGTCTGTCTGTCTGTCTGTCTGTCTGTCTGTCTGTCGATCGACCGGTAGTGCTTCTACTCGTCTTCGGATCGACACGCGTCCGCGTCCTCGACGTGTACGCTCTCCGAACCTCGAGACCGAGCACGGTGTCGCGGACAGAATCGCTCTTTGAACGAGGCGCGTTTGGTCGGATGCCCGGACGCCCGGACGGACGGACGGAGAGAACGACCGAGGGACCGATACTTACGACGACTCTGTCTTCTTCCGATAAGATGGCTTGATCCACTTGCCACCCGTTGTGGAGATGCGATAGCATGTAAGACATTTTGTTTCGTATTCGTCCGACGATTGTCGTCCACTGACACAGAGAGATCGGAGCGACGCTGTCTGTGATTCTAACCTACCCGTCTTTGATCGCTCGCTTCGTACGATGTCTACGCTCGTGTCTCTGCGAACGACGCGCGAGCCCCGTCGGATCGGAGTTCCGAGTTCCGAGTTCTTCGTCTCGCGTGCGTGATGTGATTCGTTCGCCGATCCTTCGATACTTTCTTCTTCCTCTCTTTTACCGATCACCTTGCGTGCTTGCGTGTTTACGCGATGTTATGCGACACACGGCCGCTTCTGGCCGCTTCTGGCCGCTTCTGGCGAGCGGGCTTCCTTCTCCGCCGATATTGCCGCAGACGTCGAGACCGACCGTCGTTAACGCTGAATGGCGACCCCCAAGATCGTTCGAGGTGTCGTGCGTCGACGTCCACGTGTGAATCGCGTCGAATCGGGTGCACGTGGTGAGGACTGCGAGGATCGTGTTTCGTAAGAGAATCCGTTTCTTCTCCTTACTGGAGACTCCTGTTCTGGTTTCGGACTTGTGCGTCTCGGAATGAGTCGAACGGACGATTTCGACGTTTACGTCGGCGGTAAAACCGGAACGTTCACGGGTGAGAGGCGATGTTTGCGATTCGACGATTTCGTGCGCCAGGATCACGACGATCCGTTCTTTTTTACGAAGCGAAGGACGATTGAACGTCTTCTTTGATTCGTTGACAGGTGTAAAGATGACCGCGCGGGATTGTCTGACGAAGAACGTACGAGACTGGGTGACTGTACCGGGAAAGGGTGAGGTTACTACCGTTTCTTGGGGTGACGACGACGAGAGAGAGATTCTGGTCGCGTCCGGCGTCGACGGTACCAGAAGGTCGGATACCGTGACCACGATGAGTGAGTCGTCCCGTCGTCGGATTGGCATCGGGTTTAATTCTTTCCTTCGTCTGATACAGCGTCGAGGTGTACGATACGGACTCTTCCACGTGCACGTGTACGTTTCGTTGTGACTACGGAAGAGGAAAGATCGTTGGGATCTCGCGGTACGACGAGTAAGTCACGTCTCGATTGCGTTAGACGTTGTTGTCGTCGTGTCTTCTTTTCATCGTCGTCTTCTCACGCAGAGCGATTTTGACTGCCGTCCATACGGGAGAGGTGAAACTGTGGCGATTCGAGGAACGAGACGGATTTGTCCTCGGAGCTGGCGCCAATTTAGAGAGAATGCGTCACTCGAGAGCGAATAAACATGTCATAGCCACGGGAGGTTTCGAGAATCAATTGAGATTGTTCGATCTGAACAGGCAACGGCAAATTTTCATAGAGAAGAATCTGTCTCACGACTGGCTGCAGTTGAGGGTTCCCGTTTGGATTTCTGACATAGACTTCCTTCCCGACACGGAACTAGTTGCTACGGTCAGCAGACACGGACACGTAAGAGATCGAATGACGCGAGATCGCGTTTCCATCCGCGTTCTATCGGGCGTAAAAATGTATGTGTTCCAACTTTTTAAGGTACGGTTGTACGATCCAAAGACGCAAAGGAGGCCCGTCGTAAATCTCGAGATGAAGGACGAAGCGTTGACGACTTTGGCCGTTACGCCGCGAGAAAGGTAATCGTGCGACGATGCCGGTCGCCCGTTTCACGTGTCGTGAGTCTGTGATTGAAACGTAATTACTGTCACTGTCACAGGCAAATAATAGTCGGCAGTGGCAAAGGCAGGATGAACCTCGTCGATCTGAGGAGTCCGGCCAAATCGTTGAATACCTATAAAGGATTCGTCGGTGGTGTGACTGGCATAGTTTGCAGCAAGACTGGTCCTTACGTCGTCAGCGTCGGTTTAGACAGACATTTGAGGGTACATCACGTTCGTACGAAACGGATGTTACGAAAAGTGAGTGTTTCGTTTATTTCCTTCCTACGTTCTCTCCTCGAAGATCGCGTACGTCGTCACGTGTTCCTCACCGTTTTGTGTCGCAGATTTACTTGACCTCGAAACTGTCCTGTGTCTTGCTGCGTTCCGACTTTTCGTTGCCGTCGGCCAATGACGAGATCGAAGAAGAGACTGTGCAACGGAGCAATGGCAACGTCGACACTGGAACCGAAGAGAACGATTCGGAATACGACGTGCTGTTTGACTCTATGCCAGTGATCGGTAATGAAACGAATGGTACATTGGCGAGAGGGAAGAAGAGAAAACTTGTACGTGCAAAAGTGCCTCGGGAAATCGTGAGTAGTTTGGCGATACCCGATCCGTTGACTGATTCGATACGGAAGCTTCGATGAACGAATGATTTGTTCGTCTCTATTCTTAGGTATTTACCGAACGATCGGAAGAAGAGAAAGGAGTTGGAAAAAGGATATCGAATTCTAAAAGAATCAAGGACCAGTTAGAACGTGTTTGATCGTATTACGTACCATGGTACCGTGGTACGTACGTACAGCGCGTGTTGCTAATGATCGAGAGAATGTTTTCACGTTTTTGTAACTCTGTTTATAAAGCTGTCGAATACTGTTTGTATTGGACATAGAATGACTCTCTGCGAGAAGCAGAGGTGACGAGGCACCCAAAAATTATTACGAACGTTCAAATAAGACGTTTCTGTCACGATGTATTTCGTTACTCAGATTTCCTTTCTTTCCCTCCTCGCTTCTACCTTACGTATACAAGGGTCACGAATAGCACGCTGATCACACTTTTGCCCTGGATGTACAGACTACGCACAGCGTCTAATTCGATTAATTCTTTATTGTACAATTTATTTTTAATACCTCGTCTATGTGTGTGTGTGTGTATATATATATATATATATTTTGTTTTGGTTCACGAATGCAGCGTATGTCGATTTCAATGATCCGGCAAACGCTACGGACGACGTTCACTTTGTTCACGCGTTGACAATGATCGTTCTATTGTTACTTGTGCTGTCTGCTTGCCTGCCCGCCCGCCTGCCTCGACGAGAACGCGGGCATTCGGTATACCGCTGATGTCGACATTGAAATCGGATGCGCTGCAGAATGTATAGGCTACCGTAGATTCTCATTTTTTACGTCTAGAAACTAGAAAAAGTGAACGTGACAACTTTGCCAAGTTGCGAACGCGTTTTGTACTAAAAGGAAATAATGCTTGCGACTAAAGCACGCTAAACTCTTATTCGGCTACGATCCTTTCAGCTGTACAAAAATCATTGTCCACTACGCTTCTTGTTGATTAATACTAACGTAAATTTTCTTCGTCCCACGACTGCGCCCTCGCGTTCGAAATCGAATACTTCGCCTTGTATACGTATCTACTAGGAAGAACGTTACTAAGTTACAGGCACTGTCCCCTTCTTCATGATTCGAATAGGTGTGGTTTTTCTTTTTAAATACAGGCAAAACGTGCTCCTACGCGAAACAGGAAACCACGTTCCTGCGCACGGAAGCTATTTTATGTACAAATTTCCATATATAGGTATTACACGCAGCAAACGCCTCTCTCTCTCTCTCTCTCTCTCTCTCTCTCTCTCTCACACACACACACTCCCCCGTCTCGTTTCCCCATATTCTCGTTTCGCCCACTGAGCACGTACGACACGGAACTTGTTCCGAGGAGAAGCGAGCATCTCTTGTATTTTTCTCTCTTCTCACTTTTCATTTTCATCGACCTGATCGTACGGGAATGCCTTCCTTCTCCATGCTCCCGTTCTTTAAATCGTTCGATACAACGTTTTGAATGGTTCACGTTTTTCACGACACCCCTCTGCCACCGAGTTTCAAATTTTTATCGTATAAATGATACGAAAAATATAAGATCAGAGATGAATATCTTCGATTACTCTTCGCGACTTGCCCTTCTGACCTTTCTTCTCCCCTCGACTGATCCATCGATTACGTGAAAAGTAGTGAGTTACGCGGGAACGATAGAAAAATTATTTGTTCGTCGCGCTTCTTACTTTCTCGTTCAGCTACGCGATACGCGGAACTTTGGTCGAGTGTCGCTTAAGAATTTTGATACGTTCACGTGTACTCCCGTGTGAAAATTCTGAAAAGGGAAATAGTCGATTTATAAAAACTCGTCGTAAAGAAGAAATACAAACGTAGCGGTGTATCTGAAGGAGGGGCTGTTAAATAATATTGTGATATGCACACAAACCTAAAATAATCGCGGTGTTCGCGATCACATCGTCCTGTCGCTGACGCGAACGACGTACACGTGCTGCGAATACCTTTACAAGCGTAAAACATCGAAACACTCGTGGCAGCGTATACTAATTGCGTAAAATTGTTTTCACGTTTTCGGGTAGGCCTCTCGATACGTTTTGTTAGCAGCATATGTGCTCGCAAAGGTTACGGCTTAAAAAAGATGCATAAAACGATAACGTAGAACTTGAACGGCGAACCGCGTGCGTAGTTCGCGATCGAGTCTTTTAGATATTGCTTTCCTCCGACTGACACACTTCGATTTCATTCGCATAGACAGAATCGTTTTTCGTCGGTCATCGCATCCGCGCTATCGTCCGTCTGACAGGTAGTAGAGCATCGGTGGTCAGCCGTTTATCAATGCAAAAATCAAAAGCACCTTACACATATACATATATATATATCTATCTATCTTTATATTTTTCTCCTCTGTTTTTTCTTTTTGTAAAATATCACATGCTGTGCAATCGTTTAAAATAAAATCGTTTATTATGCACACCGGTCTCCTAATCGGCTCGGACATCTAACGTGACAGTTTATGAATAAGACGCTGCTTTTTTTTTTGTTTTTCTTTCATCGTACGGATAAGCATACAGGATATAGATCATCGTCGTCTAGAAACAGTAGTATTCGTTTCTGTAAGGAAATACCATGGAAGGCCTCTGTAAAAACGAGATCCATATGTACATTAGTTATGGAGCACTCGATGTACGCAACACGATTACCTTACTCTTGCCAACGTGTTCGCTCTATGTTATGTTCCGATGTGAATAAAGTAGGATAGTCAGTTCATTGTCCTCGATGCGAAACGAACCAGAAGGATCGCATTGCACGAAGTAGCGTAGCAACGTTATAAACATTACAAACGTAGAGGACGCAGAAATCGAGTGACTGTCTCTTTGAAGAAGAATAAGAAGAAGAACAACAACGACAAAATTCTGTCTCGACGTTCCCGGTGTCCGTACGCGATATCAAAGAAAGAGCGTAGAGAATGATCATACCCTGAGCAGATAATGGCGCGTAGTAATCGTTCCAAGAAGCTCGAACGTCTATGCTGAGTAGTATTTGTACCATAAAAAATTAAGCTTAATCGATTTCTTTCCATACAGTATACAACGTCGTGTATGCCGCCATCGGGATATATCGTTCCTATCGAATTCGTTTTAACGATATCGATTTCTTTTCCCCGCGCTCAACGTGCTATTATATTTTGCGACGCGGATACTCGGTCGAACGAACAAAGAGCTGCGTTCTCGTGTTGCTTCTCGCAGATTCTTAAGCATGGCGAACGCGCGATCGATCGAGAACGAACGAACGAGAAACGAGCTTTGGCTCGTACACACACACACACACACGCACACGCACACACCGATGATCGCGGTATCGCGCACTGGCAAACGGTTCGACCTCGACGTCGCGGTTTCGTTCTCGATTTCATGCCTAATAGCACGTTAAGATGACATTGGCTCATTCACCTCCTGTCACGGTCACCTCCCTCCACGCGGACTCTTGAGACTGATTCACTAACGTCGACGACCGAGGCTCGGAGATATCTGATGCTGCGGAACTGAGCGGCGGACTAGGCGTCGCGGGTACGTCTTCGGACGTGTTGGCGTCGAGTGGGTCTCGTTCGACTTCCGTCGTCGTCGCCGCCGCCGCCGCCGCCGCCGCCGCCGTCGAATCACTGTCTACATTAGAAGCCTCTGACTGCACAGAGTTCGAAGTCTTCGATACGGTAGAATCCTGTGCTCTCAACGATATGGAACTATCTTTATTGCTACTGCCATCCTCACCTGTAATGTGATAAATTATTAGTGACACTTTTAATACTCGTTCTCATATACTTGCAATCACAACGTTTACTTACCGCACGGCTTAAGAACGAGGTAGAAGAGTAAGTCGGACAGAGAAATGATACCGGTCACCTTGTCATCGTCGTCGACCACTACTAGCCTATGGACCTAAAATTTACGAACAGACTGTGTAGCCTTTCTCTTAAACACGTCCGTTTCACATAAAAATGATCCGCGGTCTGACCGTGAATAAAATACACACCTCCGCCCTAACGATTCTCTCCATAATAGTAAACAGGGTTTCGTCTAATTTACAACTTTGCACTCCTTCGAACCATTCGTTACGATGTTCGTTTGCTTCTTGAAGCGAAACGTCTAAATTGTTATACGTTTTCTCCGCAGCCAAGTTCTGCGAAAAATATGGAAATCGATGGAACTATTGACGTGCGTCGATCGAACAACCGCGTAGCGGTCGCGAAACGATTTCTCAAACACCTCTACTCACAATAACGTCGAACTTGGAATAAATGTTGACCAATTTTCCTTCGGCATCGATGATAGGCAACGCGGAGACTCTCCTCTCGACGAATTTCTTTAGCGCTAAAATTATGCTAGTTTCCTCCGTGGCGGTCTCTATGTCGTCGAACGTACCTATCCTCAGATCCCTCAGCGTTTTATTGGTGAACGATGGCTTCGGTAGCTCGTGTATCTGTCGCAACGTGTGAATTTTCGAATGAGGCGTGTGTGTGTGCGCGCGCGCGCGTCACGACGCTCCGCGCCCGTCCGATACTCACATAGAGGAAGAGGAACCTAAGAATTCGTTTGTGTGTCAAGATATAGAGGACGTTTCCAGTGTCCGGATCTATCACAGGCAAACGATGAATCCTATTCTGGATTAAAGTTTTGATCGCGTCGTAGAGGGACGCGTCCGGACCGATGCTCACCAACGGATGAACCTGATCCTTCAAGACCTCTGGAACGACGTGAACACGAATTATTGAAATTAAACATCGGCGGGCCACGAGCGGGCGAGACTCGAACACGATACCGCGATCGACGGACGTCTCTTACTTCTCCACGTGTCCAATTCGTGTTCCTCCAATTCGTCCATTGTGACGGACGGGCTGGTGTAATACATCTGTAGAATCTTTATAAAATCCGTTATCGTCAGCATCCCGACGAACTCTTGCCTCGCACTGTCCCATAGCGGTGCAGCTCTTACGCCTGCACGCGAGAAAGCGTGTGAAATTAACGTATCGTCGATACATGACGACGACGACGACGACGACGACGACGACGACGCGGTGGTGATACCGCGTATCGACGCGCGATCTTACCGTTGTAAACGAGAGCAAAGAAGGCCTTCTTCACGAGGAGATGCGTATCGAATACCACTAATTTGGCGCTGGTCGGTATTAGGTCGTAACATTTGTGGAACTTGAAGAACTTGACGAAGATCTGTGATTCGTCCTCCTCTGTAAGCCCAAACAGTTCGCAATAGAGTAACGCTTTCCGATTGCGGCGGAGCATTTTTTTATCTTTCAACGACGACGTCACAGTGTTCGAACAATTTTCTACTCTACGTTGACGATGAACGCGACAACAACCCGCCGTAGGGCAGCGGCGTAGCCGGGGTTTCCATTGCCTTCCCCGATGACTTTAGGTCGCGATGGTTCGACCACCACGACGACGACGACGACGCGGTTCGACCCTTGGACGACCTCCTTTTCTTCAGTTTCGACCGCGGATCCGGTGTGGAACGAATGAGAATGCCTCGAGAGATCGTACGGGTAAAAAACGATACGGGATCGTTCACGACTCGTCGAGCGGAGATGCTGACGACGTAATCGTATAATAATAGGCCATCGATTCAAACTCTACTGCCATCTCATACTCGTCTCGTTTCTGCTGCTCGACCTTCGAGAGTGGAGGTACCGATAAAATAGGTCATAAGCACTCGCGATCAAACGTTCCCACGACAAGGGGTGGTGGCGGCAATGTTACGCAACGTTCGAGCAAACCCTGAACGATCGATTCGACGAAAATAATATTTACTGCTTCGTAGAAGAATGTTTTCTGTTCGATGATGGTCGTTCGCAGATCGAATTGAAAATGAAGAAACTCGCGAATCGCAACTGTGCACGTGACACGATGTTGTACGTTTCACATCGAATTAATCGTCGTCGAGTCGTAATCCGAAGACGTGGAAAATTTCAATTGGCAGATCGTGCTCGTAACGATTACAATGCTACTGCGATGCGAGCACCGTTGTGAAAAGTATGATGAAACAGCCGATCGAAACCGTCGTCGACCGCGAACGATTCATAATAGTAGTAGTAGTCGCCGATCCAGTACGCGGTGAAACTTTCACATCGGTATCGCGATTTTTCTCCACGATCTATAACGTAAAACTCTGACTCTGTTTCAGGTAAAAACTTGTAACTGGATCTTCCCGAATACACCGAGCTGTTGTCAATTGTCGTTGTTCAAAGATCCGTCGACGGTTAATTAATAAACTTCTGAACGAGAGAACGAGAACAATGACGCGAGAACGTTGAAACACCGTTTACTACGTCGCGCGCTCGTGCGCTTGTAATTGAACGTTACGATGCAACGAGTCCGTACAAGGATCGTCGAGCTACTGACTACCGAAGAGATCGTGCGATTCGCTTCGGCCTTCCTCGAACGGGATTGTACGCGAACGTACCGGGGGGAAGTCGTCAACGATGGTGAGCCGCCTCGAGAACGAGTCCGGTACGCGTTTCACTTTGGTGAAAATCGCGCGTTACCGGTCGGTCTCCGTCGTTCTCAGAACGGACGAGATATGCTCCTCCGATTCGTTGCGTACGAACACGGCAGAACGCCGAACTGAACGAGACTCTCAGCTCTGACTGCACTCAAATTTTCTCAGTATCAATCTCGAAGAGACTGCGACACACCGAATGCAGACGCGTTAAACGATTGGTCGTTGACCCGACGCGACGTACGACTCGCGAGAAAACATGGCTGAATCGTTGCGACCGATTGCACTTTGTCCTCGATTCGGTACGTATTCGGTACACGTTCGTTGACCCATCGGCGTGACCACGCGTCTTTTTTACTTCAGACATTGCCGGTTTTCCGCTGGTACCAGCTACGCGCCGCGTACGGCACGTCGTGGAAATTTCCGAAATCGATATGACTCGAGGGTGAGCGCAGCAACCACCCATTCTCCCCGCTACACGATCTCGATACCTTTTTTCAGAATCCAAGCGAGCTCGTCCTCGAGAGGTGGATTCTCCAGTTCGAACTCCTTGATGAGATCCTTCGAGTACACGGGATCATCGTCCTCGCTCCACCAGGCAGACGTCAACTTCCTCAAAGTGGCACGGACCACCTTAGCGTCCGAGTAATAATGCAAAGCCAGCATCATTTCCCATCGTCGCTGTCCGCGATCGGACTTTTGCCAACGCTGTCGACACCTGCTGCTGCCGCCTCGATGACATCGCCTCGAGAATCGAGACTGTCGTCGATTAGCGCGCGCTCACCGCTCTGAGCCGCGACCGTTGTTCTGTTCGACGTTCATTCAGACCAAACGGGCTTCTCTCGTCGTCGTCGAACGATACGTCGTCCAAAACCGACAGCGTCTCTATCGCCGAAAGATCGATCTCATCGTTTCTTTGCATCGAATACTTTTTCAGACGTTCTGTCGCGATTCGGTCGCGACATCGATTCACGGCCGATCACCACGGCCGCCGCCGAGTAGGCAGCCAAACGACCAGCGACTATCTGCGTGAAATTCATTTTTACGAACGTTCGCTCCGAAGATCTCTCTCTGTCCGTTCGGGATTTTAAAATTAATTGAAAAGGAACGAAAGTCGATTCGAACCATATAGTCCATAGATCGCACGTGGCTCCGTTTGAATCGCGAGTGAATCGCGAGTGAAACGCGCACGTTTCAGATAAAATCGAGAATGGAAATAGAGTTTACTTGGCTCGGTGACGCTTCGACCGTTGTTGGCGAGATCGTGTTAAAAATGCCTCGAACTCGGCTGAGAGACCTTCGAAATTTCGACCCGACGGTTTACCGAACAACGACGAGAGGACGAGTCGATCGGTTCGGGGCAACCGTCCAAATTTACGCTCCGACCGCGAGACGACCAATTCTTTCTGTTCGACGCGAGAGATCGAAACGAGCAGTTAAATCTTTTCGGGATTTGAAATTTCTACTATTTCCTGGAAAACATGTTCGCAGAAAACATCTAAGTATAACGCGCAACAAGACGCGTCGGTCTCCACGTATTATAAATAGAGCCTGTCTCTCATTGCCAATCGACGGACACGTGACCTCTGCCCGAACTTAAGGCGGTGGTCACTCGCGATACTCTCTCGGAGCACCGACGATCCCCGAAACGATCGTCACCACGACGTTACCAAACGAACGCGATCGGTCTACTGGCACCGTACGGAACAGACGCGTCGACTCTCCGATTCGACTAGTAAACGCGACGATAGAAACTCGTGTACGTTGTTCTCTACGAAGACGGAGAATCTTCCGTGATCCGTTACCATTCGAGACAGCCGCCCCGCTCAGTCCGATCGGCGACGTTCGAACGACGCTTTACCGCGTGAAACGATTAATCCGACGACTCCTCGATTCGAGATAGAACCGTGATCCGTCGTCGACGATTACCGCCGTTCGATTAATCGCGTCGCGACGTTCCTCCGCTGTTTCGTCCGCTGGCGAACCGAATAACCAACCGTGCCCGACTACTCCCCGTACGTGTTCCTTCCGTTGCCGACGGCCGCCGCCACCACCTCTCGTCGACGGTGCTCGTCATCGTCATGGACGATCGTGCCAAGAATAACTCCGCACGAAAATCGTGGGTTCTCTTGCCAAGAAAAAATTCGACGGGAGATCCCTTCTCGTTCCTCGAATGTGTTCTACCAGCCGCGAGAGTCGCTCTTCAATTATGCGAGACGCGATTACAACGCCAAGTGCATGCGTTTATGTTTCTGCTCTTCTTTGGTATACCACGACCAGGACGGTTCGCTTAATTGTTTATGCGATCAGAATCGATCGCCTTGGCCTGGGCAACAAATACAATTGCTAGCGTACCGGTGCGTGGATCGATCGACGACAACCACCAGGTCGTACGTATACGTATCGTGTACGGGACGCTCCGACGAATCGTTTTCATTCTACGAACGTATCGTATTTGTAATCGCTTTGAACGAAGACCAGCGAAAACGTTTCAGCGAACGCTGCGAAATGAGCTAAATTTATCCAGGACGGCTACCTGACCGACGACGACGACGACGACGACGACGCCGGCACGGTCGTCCATCTGCTTCCGGGAATTGCAACAGGTGAAACGCTCCTCGCATCGATTTCGGCACCGCCGCGTCTCGCGATCGCTTCGAACAATGAAACGAAACGAAACGAAACGAAACGAAGAGTTCTCGACGATCGTCGGCATCGGACATCAGAAACATCGGTTGGACAGGAAATGCCGTGTCGCGAACAGGTCGACGCGATCTAGACGACCTCGACCTGTGTCATCGTTCAATTTTATGAACGAGCATCGTCCTAGAAAACTATACGAACGCGAATTTCATCGTCTACGTGTACCGGTTGACGCAAACGATTCTCTATACAAAGCTTCGCATGTACACGCTTCTCCATACAGTTTTCATATTTCGCTCGAGGTTCATCGATCAGAGTGCACGTGCACCGAGGGTTGCAAGCTTGATCGCGTTAAACGAACGAAAGAACAAGGTGTTCAAACAGCAGACCGAGGCATCAAGCAGTTGTTTGTACGCTCGTGTATTATTTTTACGCGATGGACGTTAAGAAGGTAACGCGCATTTAAATCGAAACCTCGAGACGTGCACTCCACACCACACCAGGCATGGTGGCGAACAAGTCGATGGTAGAACGCGTAGGGAGACGCGATTTCGACGATGGAACGCAACGGATGTGGCGATAAAAAAATGGCATTGAAACACGGCTAGCTGAAGTCTCCGTACGATATCGAACGCACAACACCGTACCCTCCACCCCCACTCCCATGACCTAGACCCACATACAAACGTGCGAATGCGCCATAGGACGCAATCCCGTCGACCTTGCGTCCCGACGTACAGAGTTCATCCTCTCTCCCTTGCTATCCAAGAGCTCGTCCCCTTTCACCATCCCCCTTTGCTCGGCGTCGTTCTTCCACTACTACCCTCCCCCCTTCGTCGATTTCCCTCCGTTCTTTCTCTCTTGTTCTGTTGGACGTTGCAGAGTGCCGAATCGGCGGTATCCGATCGGAACACGAGATTTCGACGTGATCTTCGGACGTAATTAATTTGTTCGATTCTAGTGGGCGGAAAATCCAGTTTCTCTCCGTCCCTCGACCCCGTTTTACCCACAGCTGACTTTTATCCTTCTGCGCCGAGCATCTTCGCGTCTTCCGCGCTCATCTCACGTTCGCCCTGTTCAAGAATGAACTCGTCGTCGTCCTCTTTGTTTCGTCCCCGTCTCCCGCCGCGTACCGTCCTTCTTGGTCCATCTAGCGTACAAGAGCGAGCTGGACTCCCGGGAATTCATCGATCGGTACCCCACGCAAACGCGCGTCGAGAGGGAGAGGGGGTAAGGACGATACCGGAGGACCCGATGGTACCGTGATTTCAAGGGACGACCCCCCGCGCTGTATAGATCGTCGAGCACGTGGGATCCCTGGCTTCGTTCAAAGCTTCCACCAGCTGATTCGAGGCTGCGCAACCGTGTCATAGTATCGTTCGAGACCGTAACGTACCTCTACGTACGATTACTCCGCGCTACGCTAACGTTAAAAACGCTGCCTGTGTTCCGAATTATTACTCTGTTCTCGACGATCGAAGGCAGAAGAAATTTAACTTTTCATTTAACGAGCAAAGTGCATGGCTCTATAATTCTCTCCCTGGACGCTTACACCCCCCCCCCCTCTTGTTCACGCGTACTAACGTTTATTTATAAACGTGATGCCTGCTTCATCGATTTACCGGCGCTCACCTCTCTTTCTCTAGGAGAGCTATTATCGCGAATGCGTTCCATCGGGCCGCCAGGCGCACTCGACCATAAAACCGATCGAGTAGATCAGCAAAATTTGTGAAATTGTTCGTTAACCAACTGTGACGTCGTTCTGTTAATATAATCGAATGAAACGTGAACAATGAACGAAAGAGACTCACCGAGATCGGAGAGCGAAACTTTTTCCAGGAACGGATCTACCACGGGCAGCTGAAAATAAGAATAGAAGAATGAGTACTGTTTCAACTGCGACTCTACACTTTCATCTACATCGGCATTATACTAAAACTAAACACCTTTAGGTTCTCTCAACTGAATCGTTCTCTCATTATACTGACAATTTCTCTCTCTCTTTCCCCGCTCCCAGATATCGTTTTCAATTTGGTGCGCAGCTTCTTTGAACACAATTCGCGGGTCTACCCAAATCATGGATTACTATTACGCAAAGACACATCTATTGAAATCGGTCGATACAAACGGCTGCGTTCTGGTTTTTCCTCTTGTTTATCCCGTTCAGTTATCAGAAACCATGGAAACTCGACAACGAATTTTCATTAAGGAAATTCATTTGGCAGACAAAACTCAGCCCGCGGTTGACGCTTGAATTCGATATACATCGAGCTTTCACGCGGAAATTTAAAACGGTCAGTAGATCGTTTACGTTCTAGGATACACGGAGTCAAAATGATCGTGATAAATACCAATGCTTTCTTCAACAAAGATCTCGGGCTGAACGGCCTCTTTTTCACGTTGGTCGTGATCTTGGAATACCAACTCGACAGAATGCCGGACGAGCTCGTGCTATGAGCTATGCCGGGGGTCTTGGTAACGCTTCCGGTCGGTTCGCTCGTTTGCCGACGAAACACCATTTTCAAATATTCGACTCGACGCTCGCAGGACTGGAAACTGATCGATGCAGGCTGCAACTAGGTATTCGTATATATTTCACTGCGTACTCTCGACGTCTCCTCCTCTCGTACAATAGACAATTTTACTCGACGACGTGTCAATGTCCCGGAGCATCTTTCAGAACCATGAAAGACAGTCTTGGAGCGTGTACCTTCCGTGTGTAAAAGTCAGCCGGCATCACACGATCGCGACAGGTGCGTCACGTCGCGATCGAAAAGTAATCGAGCAGTCGAGATCGACGAGCAGCGTACCAAACACATTTTAACGATTCGTTCACCAGTTTTACGTCAACGTCGGTTCGTCAATTTCATTTCAATACTCGCACTTCACCAAATGTTCCCGCGATCATCGATTCATCTTGGTTAATCGTTTGTCCACTGAATGTTAAACTCTCGGCGAACGACACGGTCGATTTCGACGAACGAGAACGTCTACGAGAAATACGACTGCTGTGGGAAGACCGTTAATACCCGTCGTCTGTGGCGACGCGGCGTAAAATTGTCGTCCGTCGCGATCAAAGACCGGATGGGGTGGGGGCGGGGGGTGGCTTGACGCTACTGATCGGCGCGTAGAAAAGCGAATCGTCAATGACTCACGACGCAAGGAGACGCGAGATACCTTTGTCAGGCGAAAACGAGAATACTTGTCACGAGTCTTGAAGTAGGAACTCGAAACAGTTCACTCGGTTTCGTGGCACAGAACGTGAAACCCAATTACGCTAGTACGATCGACCGGTCGTCACTGATACGATCTAGGCTCTAGACGATCACTTCGTGCCGCAGATGGTACATTGACATTGAACGCCAATGATCATTGCCGTTGAACACGAATGAACCGAATACTACGAGGGATACCTGATATGTCTATTGGAAGGAACGCATGCATGTTTCGATCTTCTGTGCACCACACGTCGAACGAATGTTGCTCCAATGCGTTTCAATAGTGCGTGTTACAGATGTTCACAGGTGTATCCGGAATACCGGAATCGGAATTGCAGACAACCGCGTCATATAATTTATTGAAACCGTGGCCAAAACTTTTCGCTTGGAACGTTATCGAATCTTATTATATAATACTACGTTGTTATCGAGAGTTTTCGTGTCATATTCTATTTTATGAATCGCGCGCGTCCTCGTCCAAATTCCGTCACGCCTTTATGTATACTTTAAATACGTTTCTGCAATCGTGGATCCAAGTGGTTCCAAGACACCCTCTGCCGCAGACGAGCGTTCGTTCAATGACGACGATCCGACGTTCTCCGTCGGTACGGTGATCACCAGGCGCCGTCGTTTCTTCCCACGAACGTAATACCTCTTTTTGCGATCAACAGACACGAGCGTACCAGCGAGACGACGGGTTTGTTCGATCCGTGCCAAGAACAACGATACCACGGATGGCTGCGCCAAGTACACGTGTGCGACGGTGTGCGTACGTGCGTGCGTAGACACGTCGGACGAACCGGAATGAACGAACGAGCGCGATCGACGCCGTCGCTTCCACCGCCAACGAGCTTTCCCGCTGGGAAAAACGGTGCACCGGTAACTTTCCCAAGTACACTGGAAAATTTCCGTCACGCGTCTCAAAGTGAACCAGCTCGTACGATCATCTGCGTTTTCACCGGCAAGTTCGTAAACACCGGCACCGAGGGCATTTTCGGATCTACTACGACTATATGGACGCCGTCTGTTGTTCGTTGTTAGCGCCATGAAGTAACGATCGAAGACATGCCAAGTTCTCGCGTAAATGAGTAACACACGTCCGTAACAGCGTTCTAATTATTTTTGTCAGATCGAACTCTACCATCGGTTACGGCGGCAGCACCGCTGTTCGTTTCACCAGCGACTCCGAGAATAAAATGGAATTTATTATCGAGGATGACGCGATGAAAAATGATAAATCTGTCAGAACGGTTGGCACCACACAGCAGAATATTTCTAACGCATTAATATAAATTATTAGTATAAACTTCGGTGCATAATATTTTCGAAAACGGCTGCCAAAACGAACAGGGATCATCGTCGTTGTCGTTGTCGTTGTCGTCGTCGTCGGTAAGCATCCTTTTGTCGGAAGTGAGATGAGATCGTCGTGGATTCGGGTTCGATGAGAGCAACTCATTTTATGCAACTGTTGATTTGGCACTCGCGAAATTACACGTTGTACCGCGATATCTTTGTTGACGTCGAGCTTGAAAAGGAGCAAACGAATCGATCCTAAAAATATCACGAATTCACGCGGTTTCTGGCGTCCGTTCAACGATCGAATTCTACTCGTCGATGAACCCCAGCGGCTACGAGCCAGAACTGTTTCATATCGAATTCCTCTCGTATTCGATCGAACGTTTCGATCGTCTCGCGACCAGGAGAAAATTTTTGTAACAACCACTAGACTCTGGGCTGGAAGTTGCTCGGCGGAAACGGACAGGCGACGAAGAGAAGGGATCCACACAGACTCGTGTACACGCTCTCTAGCGTTCTACAACGACGCCGAGCGGACACGCAATTTGACGGTGTGCCTGGATTTAAATGGAACACCCACGCGAGAATCGCCATTGACACGACCGAGGATTTTTATCCGCAAATGTGTCGCGTTTTTCTATCCCGAGAAAAAAGTTTCCTCTCTCTCTCTCTCTCTCTCCCTGGCATCGACAACCGTCGTTAAATTATGCCGAGCGAAAACGCAATTTCACGAATATCGTCAGTTCTCTCCGTCTGTCAACGTTGAGGATGTATAGGCTATATACTTAAACAATGCTAGCGTGTTG